AGAGCTCACTCAGCTGAGGGGGGGGACACAGGGAGTCGGGAGGGGGCACACAGGGGGTCTCATCACCCCCCCAACCCCTTCTTTGGGGCCGAAACAGGGTGAAAATGCCCCCCCTAAAATAACCCAGCGGGGTGAAAGGGGTCCCACGGCTGAGCCCCCCCCCCAGGGGTGTCCCCATCCCGGGGGGGTCCCCACGCACCTGCTGGGGGGGGCAGCGGCGCAGGATGGCCACGGCCGGGCTCAGGGGGTCCCGCAGGCGCTGGGGGGCCAAGGCTCCCCTCAGGGGGGCGGCGGCCGGGGGGTCCCCCGAGTCCAGCACCACCCCGGGACAGTCCAGGAGCTGGATGTGCCGGTCCAGCTGCACGGCCTGGAGGCACCTGAGGGGGAGGAAAAGGGGGGGCTTCAGGTGCCACAGCCCCTCCCCTGGGTGGGGCTTCAGGTGGTGCCACAGCCCCTCACCTGTCTAGGGCTCACCTGGTGACCCCCGGGGTCATCCCCAGCCCCCCCCCCCTTTTGGGCTCACCTGGTGTCCCCCCGGGGCCACCCCCCACCCCCCCTGTTTGGGGCCCCCCCTGTGGCCCCTGGGGGTTCCCCCCCCCCTGTTTGGGGCTCACCTGGTGACCCCCGGGGTCGCCCCCACCCCGCAGACGCGGCTGCGCTTGAGGCTGTTGATGAGGCTGCTCTTGCCCACGTTGGGGTACCCTGGGGGGAGAAAAGGGGTCGGGGGCGTCCCCAAAAATCCAACCCCACCCCCACCCCCACTCGCTGCCCACATTGGGGTACCCTGAGCAAGGTGTGGGGGGAAGGGCTTGAGGGGGGTCCCCAAAATTACCACCCCCCACCCAAATCCTTCACAGTCCCACCCACGTTGGGGTACCCTTGTTGGGGGGGGGCCACACCCAAAATCCAACCCCCTCTCCCCCTTTTCACAGCCCCCCACGCCCCCTTCACAGCCCCCTGTTCCCCCCCAGCCCCCACTTTTACAGCCCCCTACTCATCTCCCCCCACCCTCCAGCCCCATTTTCTCCCCAGTTCCCCCCCTTTGCAGCCCCCCCCCTCACCCTCCAGCCCCTCTCCCACCCCCCCAGACCCCCTCTCACCCACGACCCCCACGGTGAGGGTGGTCTTGGCCCCCCCGCAGCGGCTGTAGTTGCCCAGGACGTGCAGGAGACACTCGGCGCCCACACAGGCCCCCCCCCGACAGCACCTCCTCGGGGGCCGTGGCCACAGGCAGCCTGCTCTGCTTCTGGGGGGGGCACAGGGGGGTCAGGGGGAGTCTCCTCGCCCCGAGACCCCCCCCAAAACCCCCCCCAGACCCACCAGGTTCCGGCTCTGCTGCTGAGTGCAGGCCTTGAAGGCCACGGTGGGGAACTCGGCCCGGAGGTGCTTCAGCCACGCGGCCACCACGGCCCTGGGCACCAGGTCTGGGGGGGCACAGAGATGCTGGGGGGGG